GTATATAAAAGTACATGGTCTTAAGATCTTCAGTAAACTATCAATAAATAAGGCAGTTACAGCACTAGATCCATGAATGAGGTGTTCTACAACACTTATTTATTTATAGTTGTGCTACTTTGCAGCACGAAAGGGCCAAGTAAAGCTAAGCTATACTATAGTACAGGAGTGAAATGCCCTTGAAATCAGGCTGCAGCTCATCTATCTGTCAAGTGCCTGTTCCTGTACACATATTCCATATTTAACCCCATTTAAGTCCTATGTGCTTTTCTATTCTACAATGATATAAATAAGGAGACAGTTACTGAAACGACATTCCCATGGTATAGATAAGGATGTCGTATATATATATATATATATATATATATATATATATATATATACATATATATGGCTAATAGTGATCCCTTTTCCAAATCTCTTCACTTAAAGCAGAATTTCAGGCAAAACCTAACTACTCATAAAAATGCTCCCTCCCCTCTCCTAACTTATTCCGACTAACCTGTGTAAGAAACATCTATATACTTATTCTTTTTTTAGGCACATGATCTCCCCTGTCGGCTGCAACAGAGAGAAAGGACGACGACAATGAATGGGCCATAAAAGTCCTTGGGTGATGACACTGCTCCAAGGCATTACCAACAGTTCAGGTTCTCTCCCTCTCCCCTGTAGTGACGGCTGGCTGACAGAGGAGCGACCACGTGACCTGTCCAGAGCGGTCAAATAAGAATAGGCAACTATACAGATGTTTTTTTTACAGAGGTTAGTCAGAATAGGTGTTAGGAGGGGGAGGGGCAAAACGCACTGCAGAAAAGGTTCAAACGCAAACCACATAGGTGTGAACCTTTCCTTAAGGCAGAATTGTGCTGTATATGTAATATGTAACCTTTAATGTGTACTGATTAGGGTTTTATCGTCTCTTACGAATACCGATACTTTCAGTCAAGTACTTGCCGATACCGAGTACCCCTTTGCAGTGCAATTTGCGCCCATACAAATGAAAGCAACAAGGATTTCCCTATATGATTAATCACTGCTGAATAAGACTGTGAACTATCAGCAATTATTTGATGTTGATGGAGGTTTACATTGTTTAGATTGTTAACAGTGGAGGTCTACAATGTGGTTCCATTGTCATGTTTAAATTGATAACTTATTGGGCAGTGCCTCACTTTATGATCTACCTGATTTGATGATCCCCCATAACTTTAGACCTAGCCACACCTATGCCCACAGGGTCTATTTAGCCTAGTGGGTAAGTGATATGGGCAAGTTTGGAGGGTGAGACTGACTGACTCATTGGTACCAGGACCAAAACACTTACGAATAAGAAAAGGTAACCTATGATTGGGTGGTTTATTGTTTACCTAAGACACTTAATTGATTGTTATAGTCAGGTGGGCAAGGTATAGGAGTGTCCTAAAAAGCTGAGGACAATACCCCCAGGGTTTTCAGTATGCTTGAGGTTTAAGTGGATCCATTTAGTTCCAGTCATACAGAATTTGAAATACTGTCCTAGATTTACACATGTGATGATATATTTTTATGGGGGTGGGGTGTTCCCCCAATCACTGTTGACTTCATACATCATATAACTGATCTATCAAGGGACCAGTTATGATGCAGCGGACAGTGATTTAGACACGGACGTCCATACTCTTTTTGACATTACTGTAATGCTTTTCTTCAATGGTCACCGAAAGGTATTTTGTGTTACCCAATTTTTTTTTATATGCAATAGTATTTGATTATTCCGCAAACCACGTTTGTCAACTACATTAACCCCTTTTTCAACTTCTGCATTCTTGCTGGCGTTTGTATTATATTTTCTTGAGTATTTAGGTTATGGTGACAACACTTATTGAAGTGAGTTGGCACACCATACTAAATATATTAAAAGAGTATCCTTGTATTTCTTGTACATTTTGAGGACTCTGTTGCAAAGGGGAATACCTAAAAACATAACTCATTGATGAAGAGTCTCTACAAAAATCAAGAATCTGCAGTGAGAACAGAATACGGAAACACTGACTGGTTTCCAATAACATGAGGCATCTGGTAGAGATGCATTTTGTCCCTTTACCTGTTCAATCTATATGGTGAAGCCATTTTCAGAAATGCATATATGGAAGAATAGTCTGTCAGTATGAAAGATGGCAGACAAAACATAAACAACCTGTACTATGCAGACGACACAACGCTCATCACCAGATGCAAAGAAGATATGCTATATTTACTGTGAAAAGTCAAATCTAATAGTTGAAACATGGGATTATAGTGGAATAGAAACAAGACGAAGATCATAAACACAGAAAATGCTGATGATTTTTAGCTTGACGGCGATAGAATAGAAGTTGTAAAGCATTTTAATCTACTTTGTTTCTTTCATAAACAAAGAAGCAACTAGTAGTGACAAAATACTCTGCAAAATAGCACTTGGTAGCCACACAATGAAGACTCTTGACAAAGTATTAAAGGGTAAAGAAATGACACTCAAAACAAAGATCAGACTTGTGCATTCACTCGTGTTCTCAGTTGTCAATTACGGCTGTAAAAGCTGGACACAAAATGGGACAGAAAGAAGATGGACTCATTTGAGCTTTGGTGCTGGAGAATGATTTTATGCATGCTGTTGACAGCTCAGATAATTAATATTTCAATTCTGAAAGAGATCAAACCTGCTATGTCGCTAGAAGCCCAAATGATGAAGTTACAACTGTCCTTTTTTGGTCACACTGATAGCAGAGAGAGATCACTGGAGAGGGAAATAATGTTTGGGAAGATCAAAGGCACCAGGCAAAGAGGGAGACCAGCTACTAGATGGTTGGACACGGTGGGTTGATTTACTAAAGGCAAATATACTGTTGCTCCAGAGCTTAGTAAATGAGGTAAAGCTTCACTTTGCAAAGAATACCCAGTCACGTACAAGGAAAATAAAGAATCTGTATTTTTGCTAGCACATGATTGGATGATAGAAATCAGCAGAGCTTCCACCCATTTCAGAGCTTCCCTTAGAACTAGAGCACCTGCGCTTGCAGTAAACAGACTATTTGCCTTTAGTAAATCAATCCCATTGACAACAACTGTGGGGTTGACACTGGAAGATCTCACCAGACTAGCACCAAACCAACTTATTTTTAAAACTCTCATTCATCTAGTAGCTAGGACTAACCCCTACAAAATCAGAAGTCAGCAAACACAAAACTAGTTTGAGCAAGCTGTTGAAAGCCAATGTTTAACCATTTTACAACACCTTTTGTTATTTATTAAGTCTAAAGTTTAGCAGTTCTAAAGAAGCACAGTATTAAAATTCAGCTTTGCTATTAGAGGCTACCTACACAGTGGACTCATCAGTACAGTTTCAGGACAAACGAGAACTTTTACCATTCTTGACTCATTGGAAAAAAAAAGTTAAAACACATTTACACAATGATCTAATGCATGAATAAATCTGCAGTAAAATAAATTTTTGGAAGTTTGACGTGGCAAAAATTCTCAACTCTCAAGCAACCTACATTTTTGTTTAACATTATCCATGTGTATTTTGCTTGGCTTAACCAGTGACAGTTACCCTTCCTGTGTGCTGGAATGCAGTGAACAATTCGTGATGTCTACATATGCTACCTGTTGGACCTTTAGATGAAAAGAACTGTGCTGTACATATTCCAGACTTATGTTTTTTAACCTTTCTCATGACATAATGGAAAGACACAAAGAAGAAAATCAATAGGCCATTGCATTAGGTAGAGTGAGTGCCATGAACTGTAGATAAAAGAGGATTAGAAGTTTCTTGCTCACTGCTTTAACTGGTTGTCTTGTCAAATTAATGTGCACCAAAATAAGAATTTCTATCTATATGTTCTAAAACAAGTTTAAAAAAGTGTTACCGTGGTTATTTCCTACAATATAGGATTAGACTCTTTGATCTGTACTTGAGAAAGCGTTGTGTATGACATAATGGCTAGTGAAGTGAGATGGTATTAAGTTGATAGAAATATTTTCTAGCTTGTTTCCGCTATGCATGCTGGCATTTAAAACACTATTGACAAATATACCAGGGCTTCTTTTTTTAAGAAAGTACATACTTTGCATGTCCAAAGAAAAATTATTTATTTTTAATTTCTATTTATTTTTATTTAGGTCATTTCTTTGGAAGAAATCATAATGACCACAGTATGCAACACAATTAAAAGGCTAATGTAAAGAATCAACATTTTATTCTAAATTTAGTAGTGTGTTATTTCTCTGTCATTCCACTGAAGACTGAGTACTTCTTTCCTGCTACTGGATGTTCTCAGTTTTCAGAACAAAGACTGTCCTGCCATTTTTTTCTCTCACTTTAAAACTCAATTGAGTTTCAAATTTAAATCACCTAAATACATTCCAGGTGCATCAAAGCACCAAAATCAAAAATGTGCAAAGACCTACAGTTTGTGTTCAAGAAACCCCTTGCTGAGCCACAACTCAACCTTCCCAATCAGCAGGGAGTATGTGCGTTTTTGAATGAGCAGGGGGTGTGTTGGACTTCTGCAGGGAGTCCACTGCTTCTACAAAGAGAACCTTCTCTAAAGCAGGCCATACATTAAGCAAATTTCTTTCCTATAACCATGGCTTTGATGGGGGATCCCTCTGGCAGAGCTTTTGTATTCTGAGAGTGGAAGATTTCCCAGCCACCAGAATACAATGATCACTGCTGACTGCTGTGATCAAATGAAAAAGACCCAATAGGTTGGTTGTACTAAAGTCGATTGAGCAGTTGACATCAGTACATTGGCTGGCTCAGCTGAATTTCGATCTGTCTATGGCCGGCTTAAGTCATGCTGCCAAGGAACAGGCTATGGTTGCAAATAAACTGCAATACTTTGAACATTTTTAATTTGTGAAGCATTTAAAAAGTGAAGCATTAAGATACACTACCTTGCCAAAAGTATTGGGCCAGCCCTCCAAATCATTGGATTCCGGTGTTCCAATCACCTCCATGGCCACAGGTGTATAAAAGCAAGCACCTAGGCATGCAGACTGCTTCTACAAACATTTGTAAAAGAATGGGTCACTCTCAGGAGCTCAGTGAATTCAAGCGTGGTACCGTGATAGGTTTCCACCTGTGCAATAAGTCCATCTGTGAAATTTCCTTGCTACTAAATATTCCACGGTCAACTGTTAGTGGTATTATGGAGACAGAAATGAAACGAGCGCTGGACAAAATACAGAAAGCGACATGCATGAAAGGCAAACACCAAAAGCCTCTAATAATAAATATGAACAGAACATGCAGCGCTGTTGAAAATCAATCATACATGTAGAAAATAATACATTATAAGAAGAGTGATAAGGCGACCGCTGCTAAATAATGGCCCATCAAAATGTTCATAAATTGCAATGACATAAATATCTCCAATGAGAGTGTTCTTGTGGTACACAGTGCACAATATCACAATGAAGTGGTGAACAAATTGGTGACTTCCGTGACCATATTCCTCCCACCGAAATGAGTGTAGATTGCACTAACCAGAAAGCGCAATAGAAATGCGCATTTTAGTATTAACCAACTCCTGGTCATCCGTCTATTTAAGCTGGATCACTGGGAGGGTCATCAGGCTAGCGTCCGCTGGGCAGAATATCCTAACCACAGGATCTCCAGATGTCAGGGGGTGTACACTCGTCTCACCAGCAGGGGGAGATTAATCGTTCCCAGTGTGGCCACCAGATGGTCCCCAAACAAACATGATATAGTAAGCAGCTGTGTATGGGGAATACCAGGAATCATCAAAAGAAGGCAATGGCCGCCCCCGCCGTCCACAGGGGCCGTGCGATGTGACGTCACAGAGTATGAGGCAATCGTGGGGCAACTCTCTAACGCGTTTCGTGCGCTTGCATACTCCCTTTGAAAAACGTGCAAGCGCACGAAACGCGTTAGAGAGTTGCCCCACGATTGCCTCATACTCTGTGACGTCACACCGCACGGCCCCTGTGGACGGCCGGCGGCCATTGCCTTCTTTTGATGATTCCTGGTATTCCCCATACACAGCTGCTTACTATATCATGTTTGTTTGGGGACCATCTGGTGGCCACACTGGGAACGATTAATCTCCCCCTGCTGGTGAGACGAGTGTACACCCCCTGACATCTGGAGATCCTGTGGTTAGGATATTCTGCCCAGCGGACGCTAGCCTGATGACCCTCCCAGTGATCCAGCTTAAATAGACGGATGACCAGGAGTTGGTTAATACTCAAATGCGCATTTCTATTGCGCTTTCTGGTTAGTGCAATCTACACTCATTTCGGTGGGAGGAATATGGTCACGGAAGTCACCAATTTGTTCACCACTTCATTGTGATATTGTGCACTGTGTACCACAAGAACACTCTCATTGGAGATATTTATGTCATTGCAATTTATGAACATTTTGACGGGCCATTATTTAGCAGCGGTAGCCTTATCACTCTTCTTATAATGTATTATTTTCTACATGTATGATTGATTTTCAACAGCGCTGCATGTTCTGTTCATATTTGTTAGTGGTATTATAACAAACTGGAAGCAACTGGGAACAGCAGCAACTCAGCGTTGAAGTGGTAGGCCATATAAAATTACAGAGCTGAAGAACACCGTGTGCAGAAGTCACCAACTGTCTGCAGAGTCAATAGCTAAAGACCTTCAAACTTCATGTGGCCTTCAGATTAGCACAACAACAGTGCATAGAGAGCTTCATGGAATGGGTTTCCATGGTCGAGCAACTGCATCCATGCCTTATATCATCAAGTGCAATGCAAAGTGTTGGATGCAGCAGTGTAAAGCACGCCGCCACTGGAATCTAAAGCAGTGGAGAAGTGTTCTCTGGAGTGATGAATCACGCTTCTCTATCTGGCAATCTGATGGACGTGCCTGGGTTTAGCGGTTGCCAGGAGAATGGTACTTGCCTGACTGCATTTTGCCAAATGTTGGTGGAGGGGGATTATGGTGTGGGGTTGTTTTACAGGGGTTGTGCTTGGCCTCTTAATTCCAGTGAAGGGAATTCTTAAGGCGTCAGCATAACAAGACATTTGGACAATTTCATGCTCCTAACTTTGTGGGAACAGTTTGCGGAAGGCTCCTTCCTGTTCCAACAGGACTGCACACCAATGCACAAAGCAAGGTCCATAAAGATATGGATGAGCGAGTTTGGGATAGAGGAACTTGACTGGCCTGCACAGAGTCCTGATCCCAACCTGATAGAACACCTTTGTTATGAATTAGAGTGGGGACTGCAAGCCAGGCCTCGTTCGACATCAGTGCCTGACCTAAAAAATGTGCTTCTGTAATAATGGTCAAACATTCCCATACACACACTTCTAAACCTTGTGGACAGCATTTCCAGAAGAGTTGAAGCTGTTATAGCTGCAAAGGGTGGGACAACTCAATATTGAAGCACTAAGACTAAGACTGGGATGCCATTAAAGTTCATGTGCCTATAAGGCCAGGCGTCCCAATACTTTTGGCAGTATAGTGTACATACAGTGTATACAGCCTTTCTACTCAGTACATCAGTTGTCATACAGCTATTAGTGTAGTGCGCCAGTTCAGCATAGGTTTTTTGGGAGGTAATCTGGGAATCCCTACTTGTAGGTGAGTAGAGAAATTCCCAAACACACCCCCTGGAGACTCTTTGCATACTAAAAGCAAAATGGAAAAACATGTCCATACTAAAAGGTTTTCCTCAGCTACCAATCAGATTTATAGTTGCACTGGATATCTGAATTATTGATGACACATTAACAAGAGAAAAGGAGTGGAGAGAGACTCCCACAGAACTTAGAGGGAGGTATGTGTGCTTGTTTAATTAGAATTTAGATTCTACTAAACTGAGTGAATTTTGAGCCTGCTGCACAACTGTTATTTGAAATTGCTTTGTGCTTCATGACTGTGTAGATGTACCCAACTTCAAGAAGATTTTGACTGGGAAAGTGTGAAGATTGTAATAAGCAAAAGAGGTGAACTTCAAGTTAGTATAATAGTTGGCAAGGGTCAGTTGCTTGTAACCAGGAGGCTTCTGTGGGTCTTACTCCCTAGTGTCTCTGGCCTCTGGACAAGCTGCTATCCAGACACACAGAAAACTTTTAGAACAAAATATAAAAAACAGCAGCCATGGCAGCCAAATCAAGTTGGGCATGCATCTTGGAGGGGGGAGGGGGCAGGTCAGGGAAAGGGGGGGGGGGATAATTGAAATTTGTGTTAAATTGGATTTATCCTTTAATAGTAAAAGGTATTCGTTTTCCTAATCTACAGTACTGATTTTTTTTGTTCATGTAGAATACAAAGATGATTTTTTTAAAGTCGTGGAATCCAAGCAAAAATACTCAAATAAACAAAGGTAATACATATGTGATTACTAAATCTTATTTGACCATCTTATGTCATTTTTTGTTAAGCAGTAACCTTTCTATCACCGTTATCATTGGTGCTAATGTATAAGATTAAAATTCCTCTGGCAAGCAAGCTTATAAAATATTTTTTCCCCTTCTCTTCTGTGTCTACAAAAACAATTTCTCAACAGTAAATATGAAAAGTTACTCACCTTGGACAGAAATTCCCGGCTTTTTGTTTTCAGTGCTGTTGATAAGGGCCTGCAATCTTCAAGTACATTACGCAGTGTACTTGACCTCTTCAAACCTTTAATAATTCCACCTTAAAACAATCATAAAAGCACTATTCACAGGAGGCAGTAAATAAGACTATATTTCAAAATTGATTTTGTGACACACCAGCAGGCTCCCCATACTTTCAGTACCATAAACCATACTGATATTTTCATAGAAAAAAAAGGAAACATATACAAATTCCATCCACAGTGAGTCTACAGCGGAAGATGCCCACAATTCATAACGACAAGTGTGAAAATATGTTAAAGTGGAAATCACCTGTGAACTAATGGGAGTAATGCATTATATGAGCTAAAATCAATATTACACATAATTCCAATGATGTAAGGAAACCTTAATTTGGAATATCAGTAAATACAGGGCACCAAATAAATGGCACCATGGTGCGTGTCCTTCATTGCTTTCACCAGAATAAAGTATCGAAGGAATGCACAATAGATTATTCTGAGAAATTCATCATTAATAATTATGATACAAAATGAAATTATCTTTGATCTGAAGTCTATATTTGTAGTATCAAAAGAAAAATGAGAACAGTGAAACTCAGTCTGCAAGTTAAAGGGATGGAAATCCATTTTACTTAGTGAAGATTCTTACAAGATACATGCAAACATGCCAAACATTTTGAAGATGTGTTCCTACCACGTAGCTGGTGGAGGAGCTAGATGTGGAGATGAAGGTGTCCTCTTACACCTCCCGCTCAGTACCCCTGATAGAGTAGACAGGAAGCACGAGAGCCAGGAGTGGCACGAATGCCTGACAGTTCTACTATGTCAGCTGCAGGTGAGTTGACCGTATGTAGCAGGATGCAGGCTGGCTGAGGATGCAGGGCAGCAGGAACAGTGGGCTAGCAGGACACTGGCAGCTGGATAGCAGGAACTAAGCGGCTGTAGATGACTGGTAGCAGATGATGGGCACGGGCAGGAACAGATAGCAGGGTCAGACAAGCTGGGTCAGGAACTAGCAGGTGGATCAACAACAAACAGCAGGCAAGTGGATAGGCAGAGTTCAGGCCAAAAGTCAGCAACCATCAGGCAGATAAACAAGGGAGCAGGCAGACATGTAATCCAAAGGTAAGCCAAGGTCGGTACAGGTGGAGTTCATGCGTAATGAAGACAGATCAGGTCGGCAACAGGAGAAACAGGATACAACCGGTAGCAGATAGTAGGAATGTAGTAGACCAAAAGGCAAGGTCCCATAGTGCTGTGTGGTTTAAATAGTCCGCCTGGTGCTGGACTGGTGGCATGCCAGTGCAGACACGTGTGCGCATACATGGGCGCACACAAATGGCCACAGCTGCTGGGCATTCTGCATTGGTGCATTAATGTGCACAAGGGCATCCTTTGTCCTCCCTGACAGTTCTTTTTCCTCTATTCATTTTTAAATAACTTGTAGGAATCTGATTTCAATAAATGGGTTTCCCATCCCCTAGGAACTATAGGCTAAGCATTACTTATTTAGTGCAATCTTTTTGGAAACACCTTTAGTGGTTTCTTTGCCCCCCCTGCTACTTATTATCATGTATACAGTAGTTTACAGCCCCTTTCACAGGGGGTGGGTTGGGCCTGCAATCCACTTGCTCAGCAGAAGATCTGTCTGCTGATCCACATTGAACAGGCAGATGATAGGTCAGTGTCTGCTCTGCTTATGCAGAGCGCACATGGACACAGCCCGCTCTCCTCTATGGGTGGTCGATGGTCGGATGTAAATGGACAGACTGTTTGTTTACACCTGACTGCCATCCAATCTGATCCGCTGGGCAGAAGGGAAACTGTCCCCATCCATCTGTTTTTAGTGGATCTGATCGGATTGGATGTAGGTAGGTGTAAACGGGTCCATTAACACCCGCTGCTTTACAGAGGAAAATGGAGGTTCTGATCGGATACGCCTGATAAACTGACAGGTGGACCCTATCGTAACATTCGTGTTAAAGTTGACTTCTGTTACATTCACCTTATGCATATTCTTGTCATCAGAAATATCCTCTTCTGCAAGTCTAATGATCAATTTGCATTATGTTTCTCTATGCATGCACTGTCCATACCAATAAATGATCATAATACCAAAAATTGAAAAACAAAAGACAAAATGTATAAAAGGAAATATTCAGAGGGGCATGAAATACAGTAAATGGTATTGTGGAAATGAAAAGATTTCTGACTATCTTCTAATATCATTCTAGAACTAACTCTGCTATTGCACTGACCTACACCATGATATAGTTACCTAGCCTTGATGTGCAGCTCCCTATAGCAACCATACAAACTTTCAGATGGTAAGTGTAATCACAGCATAAGAATGGATGGCTGGTTGTCTGAATTGTGGCTACATTATCTGCATGTTTCAAATTATTTTAGTTTGTGAAATGGTCACTTTGCCCAACAGTAATAGCTAAGGTATAGAAATATGCCACTGGGTACATTCATACCTCTTAGCTCTGTACTCCTCCACACTTCACTTGTTTGTTCGCAAAATGAAGAGTTTCACTTACCTTGCGACATGCTCCATGATGCAAACAGTTCGCAACACATATAACAAGCCTGTAGTTGATTTAAGCCCAAGCATGAGCTCCACCCCCACCCCCCACCCCATCCAAATGAAAAAAAATCAGTGTTCTTGCCTTTTTTCCTGATGTTTTCAGTCTGGTGGCAAATGCCCCCATAGGGATTTCTTCCTCCAGTGATGGGAAACAGCACCAGAGATAGGGTAAGCTGGAGTTGCTTTTCAATAGTTAACTCATGCTGGGGAGTGATCTATTTTCCCAAACTACAGTTGCGTTTAAGGCATCCCTTTTCTACCTAAAACCAAAATTTTGGGGTAAAGAGACTCCTCAAACTACAAAATGTCACACTGCAGAACAAAATGCCTGGCTGAACATATTTCACTATAGCTATGTACCCCAATTGCATACCAGTGTGCTTTTATCTTATGCTTAGTGGTCTGATTTGACTGTTTTCACACTAAGACTCATGTGTATTACAGAGGCCTGAATATAGAGTCATAAAAACAAACTAAATCTCTGTTATCAAGCCATCCGATCAAAGCTGACACTTACATGCTCCCTCTTTCACAGCTAAGGCCACAGCGTTGCTTA